TACTGGAGCAACTTCATAATGTTTTCAGCCTATAGGAAGTTCTGCTGGCGATTATTTTAATAATATTCATGCTGCTGTTTTAATGACAGTAGTGTTCGTAACATTTTCATGTCAATCTGGCCTATGAAATGCAACATAAGCAAAATAAACGTGTTTTAGTTTTGAAATCAGTTTACCCCATTGGCAGATTTTTGCTTGTTTTAAGGAAAAACTCACTTAATTATGACTTAATATTTCTAAAAACATGACAATATTTTTACTTCTCTTAAGATGCAGCTTGATTTAAAGTTTGCATGAAGCAGAAGTTGCTGAGACGACTAAATATTTCAACATGTTGATGCACTTCCAACTGAAACAGAATATTGAGTAGGGGGCGGGGCTTCCTTTTGACAGGGCTCAAAATTAGCCTTTTTGCTTGGTAACATCGGTGCTCCTAATTTCGAAAGTTTTGGCGCACCATCCAAACTGTAGTCGCACCCACCAAAAATTATAAGAGTGTTACTGCAAGTTTTATATGAACAGATTTACTGCGTTTGAAATCAACACCAATCAAAACTCATTCATTTACTTGTTGGCTAAGTCCCACAGTGGAATGAACCGCCAACTTATCCAGCACATTTTTACGCATCGGATGCCCTTCCAGCCGCAACCTATCTCTGGGAGAGATTCACACACACACACTACGGTCAATTTAGACTACCCAATTCCCCTATAGCGCATGTGTTTGGACTGTGGGGGAAACCGGAGCACCCGGAGGAAACCCACACGAACGCAGGGAGAACATGCAAACTCCACACAGAAATGCCAACCGACCCAGCCGAGGCTCGAACCTGCGACCCAGCGACCCTCTTGCTGTGAGGCGACAGCATCATGAGGATTAAATGAAGGATTAAATAACAGAACATCTCGTGCTTACAATATGTAGATGTGGCAAACACTGTTACCTGAAAACTCCTTTGCTCCGGCTTTAAAGTGAATGGCTTTAATCATTGTCATAGCGGACTTTAAACAATGGAAGTCTTCTGGAAGTGTAGATGCTGGATTAACATTCTCCACATGTTCACTAATCAGATGTGCCGTTATTTGTAACTTTGGGTGGTTTCTAAAACTAAATCTGTCAGTGTTAATGTCCAGACCTTTACATTTTCGCGGCTGTAGCTCTCTGTCTTCTGAACTGAGTGATTGACAGCTGATATTAACCAATGCATTTGGGTTCTGTTCAAGCGCAGTGAGCCAATAAGAAGAGCTTGAACGCGGGGCAAGCATAGCAGGCTTTATTTACAGCAGCAAGTGGACATGACAAGCGTTTTAAACTATTCATGAATTGCTTAAATCTGTGCATGCGGTGAACATTTTGCAGTGAAAAACGGTCGCACAACAACAATTTTATGCACTCGCACACATGCTCGCAAATATATCTTTACGTCGCATAGTTAAAATTAAGCGCATATGACCAAAACGGTTGCAGTTTTGAGCATCATTCCCTAAAGTGAAAGCTAACGTAAGACAGGGTATTAATATGCAAGTGCTAGGGAAACCCTCAGGTTGACATCAACAGAAAGAGTCACTCCAAACACGGAAGCAGAAGGTCAGACTTTCATTGAAGATTGTCAAAATATTTCTTCACCTTTTATATATATATATACAAACACAAGATGAATATACACAGCACACACACAAATACAAGCTTTGATTTTAGATGCGATTGATCAATTGCGATTAATCTTTTGACTAGGAGTGTGTGCAGTGTGTATGGATCAGTCTGAAAACCGCTCTGAGTGATGTGTGTTTGCTCTGCACTACAATAACACAAACGCTCCCAGGACAGGAGGATCGCAGTGTGAAATGCAGTGTGTGCCTGTGGCTTTGCTCTCCTTCTGTTTGATAAGTGATGGCGGCGTTAGGGCCTACTCACGGCGTACAGCACATTTATCTAATCTGCTCCCTATTAGACAAGTGTGTGTGTTTGTGTGTGAGAATGCTGTGGGCCAAACTCACACACACTCAGCACTTTTACAGTCAACATCACATCAAAACTCTTGCTTTTTACTCATGCAGATTTCTGCTCTGGCTCTGCACAAGTCTTATCAGGCTTTTCTTTGGCTTTTTTAATATCAGAACTATTTTTTATCTCTCTTTAAAGTCATTTTCTTGCATTAGATGTGCCAATTAATGTGACATTTCTTATTAAAAAACATCTTTAAATAGATTGGATTATCCTGATAGACAGGACAGTCAACTGCTGTCTTTCTAAATGAATCAGCAGTTTTCAATGAATATTACAAATGAATCTGTTTCAGAATGAATCATTTGGGTCAACGATGCAATGAATAACTCAAGATAGTCACTTGTTGTGTTTTAAATGAATCAGCACTTTTAAATAAATAATATGAATCAATCTGTTTCACAATGAATCATTTGAGTCAATAAACCAATGAATAACTCAGGACAGTCAATTGCTCTCTTTCTAAATGAATCAGAAGTTTTCAATAAATAATAT